GCACCATCCGCCAATGACGTGTATTCAGAAGCTATGCACGTGCTATTGACTTCAACATTCAAATTCGATCGATCGCAATGTCCTGAAACTGTAACGCGCCGCTCCAGGGCAGGCGCCATCGTGTAGGCCTGGATCACCACACCCCCTTTACGTAATCCTACCTCCAGTCAGATACTCTTGAGTCCTGACCGAATGAAAGATCAATCTGTGTGTGTGTGTGTGTGTGTGTGTGTGTGAATATATCAATAAAAACCACTGTTCTCCTCGACTACGTGCAGCAATGAGCAGGATCCCACTGCGCATTGGTTAGGATTTTTCACTCAGTGGCTGATTTGCCTATTTGCAACCGGTATTTGTGTGAATTGTACATGTTGGTCGGTTAAGCTAGGACTCAGTTGACGAGTGATGTAATCAACCGTTGCCCATGTCAGTTTAAGAGCTTGAATTAAATGTTTTGTGAACAAGACACTGGCTTCAAAAATCGCTAAAAATTGGGTCCGTCATCACTAGTGTTTCGGTACGCGTTCACTTCGGACCGACACAGGTGTACTTTGTATGGCACCATATGTACATTATCCGTTTCAGCCGAATATTCCTATTCTAAAAAGTGAACTAGATTGAAACTAAACACAATAAACCTTCCGATTTTGCGATGCTTGCCTCATAATTTTACCAAAACAAGTTACACTACAAGTCTACTTAAATTGTCAGTTTATCGTCGGAGTGGTCAATTTGTGGAGAATTTGTCCTCATTTCGATACACGACCCCTGGAGAATTGCGGTAACTATGCATCTCAGCTGATTGGTCATAAACGTCGGTTTAATCAAAGCGGTACTGTTCTTAGATTGATAACTTCCTTTAAAACCGAATCACAGATACCTAATTCTTTTTAGTCGACTGCAATAGTTCTTTCGGGTTTCATTCCGCAAACTGCGATCAATGAAGTTAGCGGGATGTCCGTTTTTCGTTCGATAGGTACTTTGAGTATTCAACAATATATTTGAGTCCTATCAAGCGATAAACACCTTTTGATGCTTCTAGACACTAACTTTCCGATCGGGGTAGATACTGTTTTAGTTGGCTGAGAAAATAAGCGAAATATTATCAAGTTTTCAATTTTATAGAATAGTAGCGCTATGAGATACTACTCACACTTGTGAGTAATCGCGAAAAAGATGCAATTGGTGGTTTCTTTTGGAGTGGACCGTTCCGTTCACTATCCTGTGTGTGTGTGGGAATTCTGAAGACTGGTTCCAAATGAGATACTTTTTTTTATGAATGCCAATTTACTGATACCCTGACCCTTGTGGAGTTATTACAGTATAGTACCAACCGATCCTTTTCTATGAGTACAATAGAAACTCAAAATGTCAAGCCTAACCCTTTTTGAAGTGAACATGGGAAGCAGAGTGATCTACAAACTATGACAATACAATTTTCAGAGATAAGGATCACCAGTCACATAAGCTCCGTGGTGAACAGGTGCGATTGCTTAACACATTAACCAGACTCAATCTCGTTAGTTGGATCAGGAAAATTTGGACAGCAGACGAAGAAGAGCAGAGCGCTGTTAAACGATCAAATCGGAAGGGACAACGATACACGGAGCAGCAATATACATGTGAGAGGTACTTGTTTTGTTCGGACTAGAAGTACGATTGACACAAGCGACTCTTTCTTAACCCCCAACGAAAACGCGTAGAGAAAACACAGGTTGAGACAACAGTCAGTGGGTATTTTTTCCTTAGATTTCGATACGCAAGTAGATAGAACATGTCTCGCATACGAGAACGGCGCAGTGACGCAACAATCAGATTGCATCCTTGACATATCGATTGATCCATCGGACAAACATTAGCCTATTCATTCTGTGATCATCCAATCAGACTCAACTTGTCTGGAGCGTTGCGAGCGTGCGTGAGGCCTGACTTGGTGTGCGCGATCGGATGGGTTGATTAAGCTGACAGTCCTAATATGGTGCGAGGTGAATACAGACTCAAGAACATTTGGAAAAGCATGATTCCTTAATAAATAGCTTCGTAGGGTCAGCACGGAGTCTTCGTGACTGGGAAAAGCACCGATAGGGGATATCAGAACATGTGATAGTTCGTGGATGTAAATTGTTCAGCGGTTCGGAAATCGCGTGAACATTTCTGCTTTCATTGCTCTCCTCAGCTAACCCAAAACGAATTTACCAAGTGGACAGTAGATATTCAGAACAACTGTACGATATTTTATTGATCACATCTGCCTCAAATTGCACGTATCATAAACAACCGGATTCAACACACGTTTACAAATAGTGTGATATCTATTTTCAACCAATAAACAAACACGAATGATACTGGTAACAAACGCTCGTTCCAACTGTTTTCAATACAATCACTTACATTAAGCATTTTTTCCATAGGAAACACGTTGTGCACCTCCCTCGTGTACATGAGGATATCGATTCTAAACTGACGGTTTGGATCTGCGGTGGCCGCGGTGTGGGGTGGGAGGGAGAATTACAACGTGCAATATTCATAGATTGTGAATTCGATTCAATAGAATAAAATGATTATCGTAATGTGTAGAACTGTGTGTCTGGAGAAGAAAGTTTTCTGGCATCACTGCTCATAGGCAGTTTTGAGCCCAATAACAAAAAGATAAATCTAGCCTGCTGGTTAGAATTGGAAACTTGTGCCATGTGAGTCCGGATTCGGTAAGCAGTTTTGATCGTATTTAGCAAACGATATTCTGTATGGTTTTGTTGCTTTTATTCACGTGTAAATTCATTGCCGTGACCTCATTAAAATTTGTGGAAACGTCACATTGTCATCAAAGAAGATACCGTTCAGCGTATGCTTCTCGAGTTTTCAACCGGTAAGAGGTAAAACTTATCGCCCCGGACGATATGTAAGAGAATCTTGCCACCTCATCCTGGGCCCGGAACAAATTACAAATTAATACGCACAAATGTGTACGGTGTACGGTTTACCTCGTAATCGTTTGCTTTCCATGTCACTCTCCTCCGTAACCCAATCCCACCACTTTTTGTTATTGTTATTGGCGCGTTATTCCTCGCACACCTTTCCCTGTACGAAATGCAAGAAGCGGAACAGAATTCTTAGATGTCGAGGTTCAGATGAATCTAAACTCAAAATTGCCATATCATTCANNNAAGAGATATCATGGACGAAACGCAAACCGCTAGCTAGATACAATAGGTCTTTTTTGTGTGGCTAGGGCGCTTTTCCCATACTCCATGAAATCGGTAAGAGTGGTATCAAAAATACTGATCAAGTAGTTTATTTCTATTGACAGCGAGTGGATACACA